GAGTTTCCGGTTTCAGCAAATTAATGAACATTATCGGCATGTTAGTCGATCGAATCCATCAAGCTATCAAATGAACTTGCCCATTGTAGATAGCCATCTGACAGCCAATGCTGAAAGGCCTTGTGATATTTCATCAAATGCCCAAACAGTTTGTACTCCCAGAGAGGAACATGAAATTGATATAATTGTTAGCCCTTTCTAGTCATTAACCTCCACATATTCTGAGCCATCTTCAAGATATAATCATGTTTTAGGACAGAACTCTAGGAGTGTACCAATGAAAGAAACCCCTTTTCCTCCATTTCCGATGCCTCCAAGCAGCAACCAACAGAGATCCAGAAATGGTTTGGGTGGGTTGAGTGGGAATACAATGGCTACTTGCTTGCATTGCCGAAATATGGTAGAAGTCCTCAATTGCCAGCAGCAAACAGTCATCCTGTCTCATTAGCTAGTTTTTCTTACCACTCAAGGCCCGTTTCAGATTCTGAGGTTTTATCTCCATCCAGTTCTCTGAGTTCATCCCAGAGAAAGCCGGAGCTTTGCTCAGGTTGGACCATCAAAGACTAATGGACTTGTTGTCTCTTCAGATTTTGCAAGTTCATCTAGGACTTCAAATAGTAACAGCAAGGTCAGTCAAGGTACTGTGGCTCCAAATCCTGTAGACAGAACCTCTCACAAATCTCTTTCCAGTGCTCCTTCTCTGTCTAGAAGTGCCTCACCTTTGCTTAAGGTTGAGTATGTTCAATCTTCTAATAAGGCTCTAGTGGAAAAAATTAGTGCAGCATTGGAATTTAATGAGGAAAAATTCTGTGCATTTAAATTAATATCCAGAGTACCTCCGGGATATAATTGATACTTAAGAGTATCTTGCCTACGTGCATCAATTTGGCTTATCACATCTTGTCTTTGAACTAGCTAGACTTTCTCCCAGTGCTGAGAAGCAAAGAGAGCTTGTTGAGATTCATAATTGCACCGTTGGGAAGAATGGTTCTGTTAAAAATGGTTTGAGCATTGACAATGGTCGTTCCAAAAGCTAGAAAAGTTCAAAGAAAGCCAAAGAGAAGTGTGATGGTAATGGTATCACAAGCTCAGAGAACATTTTGTCAGATGGTCATAAGGTGGAGATCTTACCAAACGAAGGGCATCATGGTGGAAAAGGCAAATCAAAGATTTTAGTCGACAAACAAACTAACTTAAATTTGTCAATGGAACCAAATAGTGAAATTGTCGCTCAGCCAGATGGTGTCAACTCAAAGAAGAATGTGGGGGCTGGGGGAGGAGGGAATAAACCTAAGAAAAAAGCCTCAAAGTTCCTTAAGAACCGTGTCGGTGATACTTCCGCTGCCTCACTGCCCAATGTTGGTAATTCTGACGCTGATCCTGATGAAAAAGAAGAGAAAGCAGGTGTAGACAGCGATATGCTTGAACTGTTGCCGGTTCATGGAGTTTGGAGAAATGGGGGAGGCGGAAAACTTGTTGCAATGTCCCAGAAAGATTGCAAAAAATGACCTTGCATGGGAGCATAGTGGAAACGCCTGTTTGTATGTATAGAAAGAACTGGCACCAGACTTGATTAATGTCTTTTTGTGTGGATGTTAAAGCATGTTGTTGCTAGGTACATACCAGTACATTAGAGGTTTAATCCCTTGGACTAACTAGGAATGTTTCAAGCTTTTGAATTAACTGTAATCTTTTCCTGTTTGTTTTAGGTTAATAGCAAAAAACTTGTTTTTGGTACGATTTGGTTGAATTGGAAATGTGATATTTGATATATTTTTTGATCAAATAGAATAATTAATTGGTAGTAGTATTTCTTTTAATGTATTTGAAGTTAGACACGGAAATGTTGGCAATCATGGATGCCATAATTGAAGATGGCTACTATATATGGTTTGGTGCCAAAAACAGAAGAAGAAAAAAGTAATGACAATTTAGGTTCAAAATTAGACTAAAAATGTAGCAATGAATGCTTTCATTAAGCAATTTAACACATGCTTTATTTGAAAAATGATCAACACAATATAAAACACTATTTAAATCATCAAAGTTGCAGGAAAGACAAGAGTAGGGATTGAAGGAGATAGAGCGAGGAAGGGGAGGGGGCGCAAGGTAGTTTGCAACCCCAAACGTCAGCCACAATGATTCACAGGCTGTCTCGCTAATTGGTCAGCCATGGAATTTCCTTCACGAATAACGCTAACAAAAGGTAGATTCCAAACACCACGATCCTTACCCAAGGGCTTAGCTGGTGCGAGTTCTTGAGAGGACGTCCACTGTCATATCATCAGCAAGATTCTGCACCATTTGTTTCTTCTTCTGGCCTCCCCATTGCAGGTATATTTTGTCATTTTCAGGTATGGAAAGAAAGAATGGTAAGCATTTTTGGGTTGTTAGAGAAAATTGCCAGGACAAATCCTATGAACCACATCCTAATTAATTAGAATCAACAGAAAATAACACTCGGAAAGCTACACATTATTTCTGAAAGTAGCAATCCAGGGGGGGAAGAAAAAAGATTAAAGATCAATACAAAGAGAAAGACCAGCAGAAACTATAGCAGGACAGCATAAATCATCAAGCCTAGATCATTAGCAAATTAACTCGAGCCCTGGATCAAAATGGAAGCTCAAAGATTACTTTGAATGAAAACAAAGTGCCTCACAACATAAATAAAACCAGATTCCAGTCCAACATAATCGGAGCAAAAATTAAATCAGAAATTGTTACAAAGTCTTGTTGGGTTCAACAGTAAAGGTAAGATTCAGAATCCCAATGTGTAGGAATATAATGGCAGAATCGGAAACTGAAGAAAAGAAGAAAGATTTACAAAGGATTGATGTTTGGCAATAGAAATCAATCAATTGGAAGCTAAGAAGATACTGATACTAGTATAAATAAACTAGTGATACCAGCTGAAAGAACTAAATTAATAAACAGGGTACGCAGTGCTGCTACCTCTTCATTATCCTGAACAGTTTTCTCAGTTGATGTTGGTCTCCCGTTAGATCACCCGAAAGCAACCAACTACCACAGTAAGCCATGAACTCAGCAATGGCAAGCTGTGATGCTAAGCCCTTGAATGGATAACACTTGTTACCATTCCAGCAGTGGCATCGGAATCAAAAGTAGTATTCATCAATAGAAGAAAAACTTCTCGATGTTTGTTTCTGTCCCTATACCTAATGAAATTGGGAGATAACACAGGCCTCCATAACTTGAAACAGAATGAAACCTGTACAACGACTTAGTCTGGCGGTCTATAAAAAACTTCCAGTATCATATCTTCTGTTTGTTTTCATTCTGTCCAGTAATGTTGTATTTGATATTCCTTTCTCATTCTTCCGCTTTCAAATTTCATTGCACCTGTGGCTGGTCGTTTCCTTGCTATGTATTCAACCTGTGTCCAGGCCTCTCCAAGCTGAAAATTCACCTTGATTTACACAGCTGCAATGGTTCTGTTGGATTCTTTAATATCATAAACTGTATCAAACGCATTCACCTTGTGGTTTCTTGTAGCTTAGGTTTGGGATTGGCTCCTTCTTATGGTTTTTTATTTTTGGTTTCATCAGTCTGCATCCCAGACCAGTGCATTGCAAGTCTCATCAACCATACACCTGGCTTTAATTCCATTTTGTCTTGTTAGTGTTTCGGGATAGAAAAGATAAAGACTGAACAGATTAGACATGTCTCCTTCTTACAGAAATTCACTTCAAAATTGTTGTAGATTTATTTTAAGTTTGTATCTCCGTCTCTTCCAAACACATTTCTTGTTTTTTTGTACTGTCCTTCCCTAGGACACTAACCAAATGCAACCATACCGTATTAACATGGGCTTGAAGAATAAGTCATTGCTTTCGTTACAAATCCATATAAGGAGAACAAGAAACCAAATTGCAAGAAAGAGGGTTAGCTATGTATCATCCAAGTAAACAATCAAAATAATATTTGGTGTAAATTCCTTTCCATGGTTTTCTATCATCATGAGGTCTCTCTTCTTTGTGAAAGCCAGTGGCTTCAGCCTTCAGGTATAAGAAGTGCAGCTGCTGCACACACCAAAGTCTATGATTCCTTCACCCCATAATGCTTCATTTCCATCACAGGTTTCCTAGAATAACTTCCAGCCCCAAAACTAATGCAAAGCTTCATCACAGGCATCCTAATTTCTTAAACATGAAGTATATAACCAAATGAATTATGCACTGAGGAGAGGCGGGACAAATATTTGTTTTCTTTTGAAGTTGATTCTAAGCTTTGATCCGGACTTTGCTGTTTCAAATGAGAAGGATGAAATCAATTATGGACCATCCCTTCTCTTCTGTGTTTGCTGTGGCATCTTAAAGTAACTTTGGTGGACTTGACAAGTAGCAAGGGATGAAGGAGGAGGGACAGTAACCTTGATTGCTATGCTCTGCTCTTACTTGTTGGAGAGTGTAGAAGTATAAGCAATATGGGGCTATGATGGTTGCGATGTTTGTGGTTTTGGTTGATATAGCAATTCCCCATCGATCTTTAATGAGGCATGAAAGGGTCATCTGGCGATAGGGCTCCGACCGACTCTTGTTCTATTGTTGTTTCTAGACAGAACATGAAAGTAGAGAACTTGCACATACAAGGAGTAGATGGACAAATGTGTAAGTTGAACATATGTCGGGAGATTGTTCTGTTTGTTCATTTGAGACTGGTAAATTCGAAATAATTGTTTTTGGACGCTAGCTAGAGCTATAACGGCAGGCTTGATGCTTCCAGTAGTGCGTGAAACTTTGACTAACTGATCATTTAAGACCAGAAAATTAGAGTGCATTTGCCTTCAAATATATATCCCTGGTCAGGTTAGTCTTTGTTGTATTCATAAAGTAGCAATTCTGAATCATAGAATTTTTTACGTGCTTGTTGACAGCTTCTTTTTCACGGGCTTTCGTGGCGATTTCAGGTCCATGCATACATTTTGCATTAAAATAATAATTGGGGACGTATTATTATTATTATTATTATTATATTAAAAAAATGAAATAAAAGAGAATATATTGACAAGGCAGTGAGAGGTTGAGTTTATCTGCGATCTCTTTAACAATCGACTCTATGAACTTTGACTCGTACCTGCAAACACACATTCATACAAATTAAATCACGGATTAATTTGCCAATTCCTCATCAGATCAACATAGAAGAGACATATACTACAAAAATAATTCAGCTTGGAATACATCGATGCAAATGGGTGGATGCTGAATTAACAAATTAAGAAACACCACCAAATTAACTTGTACCAAATCCACGTCTCAAGGTTTCATCTATCCTCTGCAGGTCTAGAATTGCCAAGGTTGAACTTTTTAAACTGCCAAGATTCTGGTCTCCTTCCCAGACTAGCTTAACCTTGCTAGATGATAGCTCAAGTTCAGGCTCAAAAAGGGTTCCGATCAAAATTTAATTACAAGGCAAACATCTCAGAGATATCCATCCCTATGTAAATACCTCATCTACTCAGAAAAGGGACTTGAGTCCTTGAGAGAGGTCCATGTTTGCAAAGACTTGTAGATCTTAACATTATTTTTCTACTATTTTTTCAGAAGTCAATGAATTATTTTTCAATAAACAGGGAACAAAACGGCTCTATTGCACTACGGTGTGTCATTTATCAACATGCATGAGTCCTAAGGAATACTCCTTGACAATCAATAAACACAACAACGTAGTGCTGCATAACCTCTTAACATGATGATTAAGGCAGCTCGAACCAAGAACAAATCAAATTGTGAACAAATTAAGTTCCAAAGAGAATGCTACGTAGATAGACCGAGTGATAAAAAGATGACCTACGTTTCCATGAATCATCTTTTTTTTACTAAGAAGTACAAAAATGACAGTTTCTGAAATTAAGCACAACTAACTAATTGAATAAGCTTTTTTTTTTTACTAAAAGCACAGATAAGCTGATTTATTATCATTCATGGAGGCTGTCGTGGGGGATTTAAAGGTGCTCTATAACTTGAAAGTCGTTTTTTAGCGGTTGTTTCAGTATGTTCTAGTTTTATGGCTGTCCTTATGCAACTTAACCAGACTATATATGATGAACATTAAATGTCCAGTACGAGGTGATACCATGATTTCTAGTACTGGTGTTTGTGTGGATATACCATCGCAAACTTTCAATGCACGATCCTAAGAGTACTTTCAATGCACGATCCTAAGAGTAGGATTGAAATGAGCTTGGTTGGTCTTTTTTAAAAGAACATGAAAAACAAAAATAATTACATTTGAATTGAGGCTAATTAACAAACCAGCCCTTGTTTATCATCCTCAGATCCCCTTACTGTTTAAATGAACTTGTAAGTTGAATGCCCATGATAGTTAAGTACGGATAAACATGTCATACAATTATCAATAACTTGGAGATGCTGAAGCAAGCAAGAAGAATTCCATGCATGTGTTTCCAAGATGCCTAATGAATCGAGAGACAACACTACAGTAGCAATTGATTCACAGGCTCATCCCTCCTTCAATTGGTTTAGGAGGGAGAGTTCTAAATCGACCAGTGCACTTATGCAGAACACCTTTGTTTTTTCTTTCTTTGAAAAAGACAGAAACGTTTGTGATTATAGCTTCAGTAATGAAATCAAGGCAGCGTTAGGTTTCTTTCGTTTATTTTTTGGCATTTCTAGAATGGCTTCAATGTTTTTGCTTCACGAAATGAAAAGGGTTATCAAAACATCCTTTCCATATACGTCATATCAAACACAGCCACAGGTTCTGGACATAAAACAGACAGTTAACTGAGATTATTAGCAATCTAGCACCATGACAATTGAAGTTCAAGGCATCGTTTTCAATGTGTTGGTACCAACTGCATGCTTTTTATTGGCATTTGAACAGCTACAGAGGTTAAGAGACAGGAAATCTTTAACAAAATCTACTCGGAAGAGAGATAAGGCATGTGCAGTTTCTTGGATCCAAATCAATAAGCTTGTCTCGGTATTGAATTGGTGAAGTAACCTTGACCATATTAAAACTTGCACAACAAAATTGAAGATTCAATCTCTCAAGGTTAATTTATAGCCTTTGTAAAAATCTGGCATAGATAGGTGCTCACAATTGCTAAGGCTTGCATATTTTAAATCGATAAGATTCTTGTTTCCTCTCTAAATGATAGCGTCTTGTAGTTATCATAAAGAACCAAAAACAATTATTCATCCCAGTGCAGCATCTCATCTCCTATGAAAGGAACTTGACGCCAGCCCTGAGGAAGGTGCACTTTACAGTTATTTTGAACACCAGAATTATAAATCCTGAGCAATCTGAGTTTGGATTTCCTTGCGAAGACTCTGGAATTTAATTTACTTTCAAAACTAATTTTTGAAATGTCCAACAACATCCCTTCAATGTCATCGTTTCTCCAGTAAGTTGCAAGATTTCTTTCATTCTCGTCAAACTCTTTTCCCCTAGGATAGTTGGCAATCATGGTTCCAGGTAATTGAATGTCTTCTCACATGTTAACTACCAAGAAAAAACAACCGCCTAGCTACGTGGCTCAACCGTGATGTTCGTGTATCGAATGATCAAGGTCAAATTAAGTATTCCTAAATGCTTAGCTGGTTCAAAAATATAAGCTACCGATGTAATAAATTTCGAAGAAAAAAAGAAGCTAGTACCCGTCTTCTAAGACCATTCCTTCCATGTATGCAACTTCTTTAAGAGCCTTCCTCCACCCCTCCACCCGGTCCTTGAAATGTATCTCATGCTTAGCAAACTCTTCACCATACCTCCCTGTTTGGGTCCCCACCTCAGATGGATCAACATCGTAGAAAACTGGAAACACTATGTGCCCAACAGTTCTTCTACGTTCCATGATCATCTCTAGCTCGTCAAGACACCATCTCGAAGAAGCGTACTCTTTAGAAAACACAATAATGGATAGTTTTGTTTCTTGAACTGCTTTCTTGATTTCTAACTCAATGTTCTCTCCTCTCCGTATTCCATCGTCGTCTCTGAAAGTGGGAATCCCTTCTCTAGATAACGCTTTGTACAGGTGGTCGGTGAAGTTCCTGCGAGTGTCTTTGCCGCGGAAGCTCAAGAACACATCGTAAGTACCAGGCATCAACGAGAGAAGAATCAAAATTTGGGTCACCAGGTTGAAAGCCATCGGTTTGACGAAGAGAAATATGTCGAAAGAAACAAAGATTTTTGTGTTGGAAGAGATGCAGATCTCACGTGATTCTGAGTTGGAAGAAAGAAGAAAAGCCAAAGTTTGGGTTTTTTTTTAATCTGTCTAGGAAGTTTCTTCGCTCATGTGTGGCTGCAAAACGGGGACCTCTAACGTTTAAAGGAGTGATCTAACTATGGATTGAACTATACTAAAGTATTTGTGTTTTTTATTTTATAATTTGTTTTTTATGTATGCACTATGAAAAATATTGCTTTTTTTAAATAAAAAAAATATACTACTTTTTCATTGCATTGCATATTGCTATTACGAAAAAAAACCCATTATCTATAAGGTTGAATTAAAAAAAAATCAAAGAAAAAGGATTAGATTGACACAAAAAAATTTAAAAAGTTGCTTTTTTGGGGAGCGTTCATGGGGAGCTTGTTCTACACTGTGGTCCCTATTATTCTTTTATATGCACGATCAGTCCTAGGGATTACTCCTTGACAATCAACAAACACAACAAGAAAGTGCTGCGCAACCTTTGGATCCAAGAACAAATCAAATCTGGTCTTGAAAGGCTAAGACTGACCCATTTTAAATCGATAAGATTCGTGTTTCCTTTCTAGATGATAGCTAAGTTAAATTATCCAGAAAAAAACTGGAAGGCAAAGATCTGAAAAGGTAAAACAATTATGCAATTACTTATGTACCTGTCTTGCTGCAGCACCATTCCTGCCAGGTCTGCGGCTTCTTTAAGAGCGGCCCTCCAACTTTCCACTCTAGCCATTTCCTTATGGAAGCTCTTTTCGTGTTTAGCAAACGCTTCTTCAAACAACCCCTTCTGTTCACTGACCTCCGACGGATCAACGTTATAAAAAACGGGAAGCACAACGAGCCCAGTTTCATTCCTGGCATCCATGATGTGCACAAGCTGGTCCAGGCACTTTGTTGAAGAAGCATAGTCTTTAGAGAACACAACAACCGATATCCTGGATTCCTGTATAGGTTTCTTGATATCAGACTTTTGTCCTGCGTAGATTCCACCATCATCTCTAAGAGTGCGAATCCCAGCAGAATTGAGGTCTTTGTAGAGATGATCACCAAAATTCTTGCCAATGTCATGGTGGCTAAAACTCAAGAAAACATCGTTATCCTTTCTGGAGAGGAGAAGCATCAACAGATTGATGAGTGAGAACAAATCCATTGGACTGGTTGGTGAATAAAAAATGCCGAAACTAAACTGGAATATGAGAAAGATGGAAGTTTCCGGTGGGAATGGAGTGAAACGGCACCGTTGGGAGGATTTTCAGGGCACCCGGAAGGGAAGAAAGAAAACAACTGTTCAGGTTCCCAAATTTGAGACGTATGGTTCGCCAACAATGACCAGCCATCAATATTGACCAAAGTGCTTCTCTTCGTTTTTATGCGTGTCTTTTTTTAATTTTGATGAGCGCTAATTGTGTACATCTGAACGTGCTTTGTTTTATTTTAAAAACAGAATCATTCTTCAATGGTTTTGTTTGTTTTTTGATTTTTTTGAATCCCATTCTCTAATCAGGAATTAATTTTGTAATTTATTTGAATTTAATTTCTATAAAGGTATTTCTGATCATGGATTTTCTAGAGTTTTAAATGATTAAATGGTGTTTTTGTTTGAAAATAGACTTTGCGAGGTTTTATTATTTTTTTTTAAGTCTTGCAGGTGAAAATGAAAATTGAGTTTTAAAATCCCATTGGACTCGTTGGTGAGTAAGAAATGCCGAAACTAGAAGGATGGGATTTCCCGATGCGAATGGAGAGACACGGAAACACGATGGGAAGACTTTTCAGCTTGTGATCCGCCACCTGCTGGTAGCTGAAAGTGGAGGAAGGAGAGCGAGGTGAGGTCTGGAACCCTACTTCGAGAGGGCCGCCTCGTGGGCCGAAAGGGTTTTTTTCCGAACAGTTTAGGAAGTTTCGTTTCCTGCGTCAGATTAGTGCGCACGTGGCCCGGATTTGATATGTTCGGTCCATTTCTGTCGACCCAGTTTAGGAAGAAACAGGGCCTGATAGTCCATCAAGCGGAAAATCAAAACCTGGATCAACGGTTACTTTTTATATTCATCGTCACTTTAGATTTCAACGGTGATTAAAACAAACGAAAAATTGGTTATTGAATGTATTTATTTTTGGTACAGTTAAACCTTTTTTTAGCATCAATTAACATCCAATTCCATTTTTTTTTTTTTGAAGAGAATGTTGAGTTGAGGGACAGGTGATAAAAGTGCAAAAAACATGTAAAATAGGTAATAACACTGAATTTTTTTCAAAAAGTTCATTTTAATCCCTTATTTTTTTTATTTAATAGGTCACCACTCCCTCTAAATCTTAAAAATTCAATCTTGACTTGGAACTTTATTTTTAGAGATGATGAAGGGAGCAAGAAGAATTCCATGGATGTGTTTGGAAGATGCCTAATGAATGGAGAGACAATACTACACTAGTAATTGATACACTAGCTCATCCCTACTTCAATTGGTTTTTGCAGAACACATAATCTTTTTTTATCTGTTTCTGATAGAGACAGCTCTGTTAGTGATTATAGTTTCAGTAATGAGATTATCATCGATTGCCTGCTTGGACAAAATGTACTTGGAATGCACGGAACATGGAGTATTTCAGCATGATAGTTTTTTGTATATATAAACTATCAGGAATTGATGTTATAATTTCAATATGGTCCTTCTGCAATGTGAGCGGACTGGAGGTAAGGTTGTGCTTGACTTGGGAATGGACACATTCTCAACACTTGAAGTTAGCAATCAGTGCCATGATGAGTTTCCCTTCAATCAACAGGCTGAGTCTTAGTTACCTTTGATGCCATTTTAACCGATGATAGAGCAAATGAAGCTTCTGGTATCAAATTGCCTTCTGTAATGAATATGTTTAATTTGAATAAGCGGAAATGTTTCACAATTAGTGAACGAATTATTTTTTTTTCCAAATAATTCATGTATTAAATTGATTTATGGCAATTTCCATTGCTATTTAACCTGTTACTCCACCCTTAACTTAAGCTTTCATTACTCTCCTTTTTTCCCTGTATTTGGGACCAAATTTTAGTAGCAACTTCAATTATAGCACCCAGGATTGCCAGATCAATTTTGTTCTAATTATGCCAACTTCTATCCCAAAATATCCAAATATGTGGATGCATTCATATATAGTCATAGTTTTTCTAACAACAATTCATATATAGTCATAGTTTTTCTAACAAAATATCCAAAATATACAATCTATTTCAAGATAACAATAACAGAATCTCCCTCCTACTTTAAGTTCAGAGAGCAAATTAAGAACTTTCAATTTATAGCTCAGTCGTTAATTAAGAAAAAAATTGTTTACCCTTTCAACATGATTGTGAGGACTTAAACAAGTTAATAGACTTGGAGTTACGTAGAAGTTAATATTAAAATTGGAAGTGTCTGGATTTTAATATTGGTTGTTTTTTTATTAATATTAAAATTGGAAGTGTCTGGATTCTAATATTGGTTGTTTTTTTAATACTTTTTACTTAAAAAATATTAAAATAATATGTTTTTATTTTTTAAAATTTATTTTTAACATTAAAACGATTTAAAAATATAAAAATAAATAAAATATTTTGAAAATATTTTTTAACTGCAAAAACAACCTCACAAGTAGTCTAAGAATATGTGAATGAGGGTCACCTGACAAGCTCTGTGATCAAATTTCTGATGCAATCCTAGATGCCTGCCTTCAGCAAGATCCAGAAAGCAAGGTTGCGTGTGAGACTTGTACCAAGACGAACATGGCTATGGTCTTTGGAGAGATCACCACAAAAGCAAAATTAAGTAGATTATGAGAAGATTGTGCGCAACACTTGTCGTTCGATAGGATTTATTTCTGATGATGCTGGTCATGAAGCAGACAAATGCAATGTCCTGGTTAACATTGAGCAGCAGAGCCCTGGTATTGCACAGGGTGTGCTTTGTCATCTCACGAATCGCCCTTAGGGTTTCAGTTCGCGTACACACTGTTCTAATTTCCACACAACATGATGAAACTATATATTACCAATGATGAGATTGCTGCTGACCTCAAAGAGCATGTTATCAAGCCAGTCATCCCTGAGAAGAACCTTGATAAGAAGACCATGTTCCACCTCAATCCATCAGGCGATTCGTCATTGGTGGACCACACGGTGATGCTTGACTTACTGGGCGTAAAATTATTTTCAATATCTGTGGTGGTCGGTCTCATAACCTATGTCGCACCCTCGCGAGCGGAGCGCGGCGTCACAACGATTATCAATTGATTTTGGGGTCTTTTAATTTTATTTTTGTGTAAAAGGAAGTCGCCACCTAGTATTATGGTCACTAGAAAACCTAACTGGTCTTTCAGAGATTCTAAGGTAAGGAACTGGTTGCGTAAAGGGAAGATGTTAACACCCCTAGTACGCCATACCTAAGGTAAGCTGCTTGGTGTTTGGTTTATCTTATAATTGCTATGGTGTTGATGTTTTCTAATCCCATCAGTTTTTCTCAGTTAAATTCTAACTAAATTTATTAAGATAGAAATCCAAGGAGATTCCATGTACTTTACAAGCTCATTTTTCCCTTAGTATTTCAAGAGTTTGTGACTCGTAAATCGCAAGGAGGAGGGACAAAAATTTAGAAATCTAGGGTGCTTTAAAAAACCTATTTTTTTGTCTTAGTGTTTTATACTCTCATGGCTCGTAAACCGTGGAGTAAAAAATTGAAATGTGCTCGATTATAATCAAGGTTTCTTTCAAGGATGTGTGCTGATTTATTATTCCTAGAAAATTATTTTGGATATTTACCACTCTAGGTTTCTTTATCCAAATATTAACAGTGAATAATATGGTATTCCAAGATTTTCAAGAAAAATCGTCTTAGAATTTCAACGAGATCTCTGGCTCCAAACAGAGTTTTTTTGTTTTTAATCTTGAACAGATGTTCCATAAAGAGTTCCTAGTGGAGGATACAATATATCAATTGAGTTGATTGTTTATAGACGCTAATTTTCAAAAGATTATATTTATGATATCCATTTTTCTTGCCAGTATAAGCTTATTCCATTTGAAGTACGATTTTACAACATGAATGCTTTTCAGACATACATACATATATATATATATACATACATATATATATATATATATATATAATAA